AAAAGGAAAAAAATAGACGAGATGATTGGATGCAAGAAAAGATTATTTTTCCTAGGTTCAATCCCCAGGACCACAAACCAACCAACCCATCAAACAACAGAAACAAACACTTCCTAGAAAAGATTATTGTGTCTGCCTACAAACTTTATTTTTACAAATGAAAGTGTGAAAAATACAGTCAGCTGTCCTTTCTCCTGGTAGATATGTCTTAAAGTTTGCAGAGAATGAATTGTACTCAGTGAAGCATTTTACTTCTGAGGAGATGTGGTTGCTTCCTGTAAGCCTCTGCCATGTTTTCAGCTGATCAGTGTATAACCTTGCTTTATGTGGGCTCCTGCTTAGAAGATACCTTACTTAAGATATAACACTGCAGGTCTGGGACTGGGCCTCAGTTGATAGAGTGCTTGCCTGTCATGCATGAAACCCTGTGTTTGATCCCTAGCACCATATAAACTGGGTGTGATGGTGGGTGCCTATAGTCCTCAGGACTAGGGAGGTGGAGGCAGGAGGATCAGGAGTTCAAGGCCAGCGTGATCTATATAGTGAGCTCAGGCCAGCTGGGGCTACAGGGAGACCCTGTCTTAAAAAAAGACAAAAAAAAAAAAGGGGAGGAAGGAAGGAGAAGGAAGGAAGGAAGGAAGGAAGGAAGGAAGGAAGGAAGGAAAAGATAACTTTTATTTATTAAGTCCACCACACCACCCCCTGCCGCCCTGGATCTGGGGATTGAATCTAGGGTCTCAAGCAACCTAGGCAACCACTTTGAGTTACACCTGTCCTATCCTAACATTATTAATGGGAGCTCACAAGGAAGTTTAACTGCCTGAATGAAGCTCACGTAAGACACATATTTCCTCCACCAGGTACGTCACAGCTTATGTTTGACCCTGGCACCAGACAGCACTTCAGCTCTGGGAGGGGGCAGGTGGTTAAAATACTGAATCACCAACTAAACACATCAAAAAAAAAAATGTCAACAACATGACACTCAACAGACCACAAGAGGACACTTGTTCACTATGCAAGTGGAAATATAGCACAACCTATTTGACCTTGGCCAGAAAAGCGGGAATCCAGTTTTTATGTCTGTATATCCACAAATCCCCAAATGACTGTGGAAGTGCTCTCTTGATTTTTAGGATTACAAAGGTCAAGTAGGCAAATTGGCAAACACAGAATCTGCAAATAATAAACATTGCTATTTGGAACAATAAAAATGCCTTGTATTAGAGCAGCGCTGGCTCTTAGAACTCAGCCTCTTTCTTAGCCAGGGACTCTTCTGCTGATGCTTTCGTGTTCAAGTCAGGAGACAAACCTTATGATCTTCTCTGCATAACGAACGGGTCAGCAGATGTGCTGTTGTACAACAGATTGCCATTTCACTTGTTCATGCACTCATTCATCCCGTAAACTCATGGAGAGATTGCCTCACAGCGCTAGGTTCTTTCTGCATTTCATCTCTGAAACATTGTGTAAGAAAGATGGCTTACTGCCTTGTTTATTGCATATAGCACACATTTAATAAGGAGTCTTATCAGATCATTTCTATGGTAAATGCTTAAATAATTCTAGTGATGCAACTCTGCCTTGTGATCAAAGGATGTCAGGGTGATTATTTTGCGTTTTTCAACCAGAGCACACTCTTCTCATAACAATCAGTTTTCCAGTCTCTGAAGCCTCCATGAAAGAAGCTGGCCAGGTCTCAACAGTGATTAAACCTCTTTCAGTTGCTTTAAACAGTTTATTTGAATACAACACCTAGCCTTTCACTTGTTCCTGGTGAACACTCGGGTTCAGAACGGCCTGAACTTTCAGTGGCAATCCACAGATGGTTTTCAGGCATTTCTTCTTTTCTTTCTCTCTTTTGTTTACTGTATTTCAGCATAATGTTATAAAATGTCATTTTGATACATGTTTTATTTTAAATTTATTACCAACTTTAACTTATAACCTGTCTTTGAAACAGACATTCAACAAACTTGTGGGAAAATTTAGCCAGTCAGTCTTTCACTTGAACCTAACACAAGTACTATCGGCGACAATGGAAGGGAAGCTGGTTGTCTGGGACATATACTACCCACCTCCATCCTCCTCCACCTCGAACTTTCCCTTTATCAAGCCTCGTAAGCTGGTTCATTTACAGAAGGAGAGCATCACTGTGCTCACCACAGTTGACAGGTAATTAACCTAATTAAAAAGGAGCTCAGAATGATTTTTAAAAGTACTTTAGAACCCTTTTGGTACATATATTGTATATAGAGAGAATATTTCTGGGGAGACTTGTAATTAGCTGGCAACATTGACTGCCTCTAAGGAAAAGAACTGAGAATCCAAGATCAGGATGGGGTAGATTCATTCTTTTGTTTTGTGGGGGATTTTTTTGGTCTTTTTGAGACAGGATCTCCTTGTAGCCCCAGCTGACTAGGAACCCTCTATGTAGACCAGTCTGGCCTGGACTCAGAGATCCACTTGCCTCTGCCTCCCAAGTGCTGGGATTAAAGGCATGAGCTACCGTGCCTGGTCAGATTCATTCTTTTTATGGTCTTATTTGTACTAACTGGATTAAAAAAAAAACCACTTTATATTCATGTATGAAATTCTCAATAAATTTTTTAAGAATTGAGAATTTCATACATGCATTTAAGGTGTTTTGACCAAATCCATGCCCATGCCCTCCCCTCTAATTCCTCTCATATCTCCCCATCACTTTTTTTCTGACAACTTCATGTACTCTTCCTTCCTTCCTTCCTTCCTTCCTTCCTTCCTTCCTTTCTTTTTTAATGGGACTTTTTGCTACTTTAACATTCTCCCCTTCTGAAGAGGTAGCCCTAAAATCTTTTAGGGATTAGATAAAAGCTCCCAAATACTTTTGACATTTTTGGCCTTTGAACAGAGTATAGTTGCCAAGAGGCCCAAAGACATTTTGACATTTAGCCAAGAAACTGGCTACTTTTCTTTGGGGTCTTTTTACCCTAACTGCCTAGCTAATTCTTACCTCCTATTCTAAGCACACCATCCTCTGAAGAGGTTACCCAAATTGCCGATAGGGAATCAGGATGCAGACCCCTCTGGCTTCTTCCATGCTGAACAGGGATGCAGGGTGAGGCAATTGGGGTACTCCTTCAGTGGAATTTGCCCTGTTCTTTTTTCTGGTTCCCTGTCTAGAACTTATAATGCTAACTACTCTTGCCTTTACTTCTCCTTCACATCTCCTATTCACCATTCAAAGACTTTCTTTTCACCCTACAGATAAGAGTTTTGCAATTCCGGAGTCTTTTAGATAGACTAACTGGATTTAAAAAATATACGTATCATGGGCATGTTTAAAAATCCTTCATGTTTCATGAAACAAAAGTGATACTAAAGCCTATTTCATGCCCCCAAATTTTCATACTTTAAATTTAAGAAAATAATTCAAGGGGCTGGAGAAATGGTTCAGCAGTTCAGATCAAGTGCTGCTCTTCTAGAAGAACCAAGTTCATTCCCAGCATCCACATGAGGAAGCTCACAACCACCTGTAAGTCCAGCTTTAGGGGATCTGACACTCTCTTCTGGCCTCCACAGGCACCCGCACACATGTGGTATACACACACACATACACACACACAAGTAAAAATAAAAATAAATATTAAAAAAGACTCAAATACCTTTATTTTTGGTTTCAGAAGAATATTTACACAGTATATAAGTTCAAATATTTCAGAACTTTTTTGTTTTGCCTTTTGAGACAGGAACTCACTGTGTAGCCCAGCCTGGCCTTGAACTCATGGTTTTTCTGTCTCAGACTCCCAAGTGCTAGAATTACTTTCATCCATGTGCCACTGCTCCCAGATTTTAGAATGTCATAAAATTTTCTGTTCTTGGACTTGTGGTAAAAGCACTTGCCTTGAAACTCTGATGACATGAGTTTGATCCCCAGAACCTTTGTAAAGTCAAAGGAGAGAACTGACTATACAAAGTTGTCCTCTGATCTCCACACATGGGCTGTGGCACGAATGCCTGCCTGCACACACATATCAGAGATACACACAATAATAATGATAATAATAATGTAAAACTCTGATTTTGAGAGGCCATGGAGACTGACAGCATCATTAAAAGCCTCCAATAGAATAGAGTTCACATTTCAACTGCATCTCGTTCTGCTGTGTGACCTTGAGTGAAGGATTTAACCTTGCTGAGCCTGCATTTCTCATCTGTAAAATGGTCATAAGGATATGATCCTTCTCAGATTTTATGAGGATTTTGTGAGACAAGGCTTGCAAAACTGATGAGGAGCCCTAGGTAAACAGCAACTTCATTAGTGTGTTAGAGAACTTCCTGAAGTGTGGGAAAATGTCTACTGGTTAAGAGCCTACCAGATGGCCGGAGTCACTGCCCATGGCCTTCTCAGAGTCCGTAGGCTTTCATCCACCTCTGTTGGTGCAGGGGTTCTGTCACATCTTTGTGTGCTTTCACAAAGAGAGATTTGAATTGTCATCACAGAGATGTGAAAAGACGTGGTAGAACTGCAAATTGACAATGCAGTAAGCTTTTAGTTAGTTGGGGGTTAGGGCCCTTGAAGAGCAGGTTCCCCTTCCCTTTCTTACGTTGAATAAAGTCTAGTGAGAGGGTAGAAAGGGTTTCTGAAACACCTGTCCACCTTTGCCACTTCTAGCCAGCAGAGGGCAGTGAAAGCAATTCTAGCCAATTACTCTGCCCACCCGCCTCGCTTATTAATCAGAAATCTCATTTATTCACTGCATAATATCTGAGAAAATCCACTCCCTTTCTCCCCCTGTGATTAGAATTGTGTTAAAGTCCTAAAAAATCTCATTTGGGACAGATCCGAGGACTAGAAATAAAAGCTGTTTTGTCATGCAGCACCACCTTTGCTGTGATGACCAGACAGGGTTTTATGACCGTTCCAACAGCAGTGGCTTCCTATAAAGCAGACTGTATCCCAATGCCAGTCCATGTGATTTTGGAGGGCCTCTTGATTGCTCTCCATTTTCATTGGTAGTCATATGGCAGTGAATGTGAATCACTGCTACCCACCATAGTAAGTGGCTGACCTTGGAGCAGGGAAGAATGTTCAGAGTGCCTGCCCCTTGCTGTAGGCACACTGGCGTTCCCTTCGTGCTGTAGCTGAGGACCCCAGATAGGTATAAGTATGTCTCATGTGGTATTTGGTATATATTTTTTCTAAAACATTGTTCATTATTTACCTGAGATTCAAATTTAACCGGGCATTTGAACTCTCATTTGCCATATTTGGCGATCCTAGACTTTGAGTACGCTTCTTCTCTGAGACTTGATATTCCAGCTGTGAAGTGGGGTAGAGTAAAAGCAGCCTCACCAGGCACTATTGCAGGAAGCATTGCAATGCCTGGCGTCCAGAGCTTGATGTAACCAGGTATTTAATATTTGCCATTGCTGCTATTTAACAAAGCAACATTATCTTCCATTTCAGCTACATCGTGACAGGCGACATTAAGGGTAACATTAAGTTCTATGATCACACTCTATCCATAGTTAACTGGTACAATCACTTCAAACTGAGTGCCATAAGGACTCTGTCCTTTTCAAAGACCTCAGCAAGTCGTCCAACAGAGAAATCCAACCTCTCTGCAGACTGCACTTTAAAAGGTGACCTTTTTGTTGTCAGGTAAGTTGTTAATGATATCTTGGTTGTTAGCCCTAGCCTTTAATGGCTGTGATACCCCTCCAGCCCTGCTAAGTTGTTAGTGAATCTAGTCATTTGGATAGTCAAAAATGACTGATGTCTTTTTACTTTGCACACAGTGGAAGCTTCCTCTTGTTCCTAGGATATGAAATAGAGAAAATTTGCCTTCCTGCCATCTTTTTACCTGACTTGCAGATGTCTCTCTTTGGCTGGCTGCAATCAGTATTAGATTTTTTTTAAAAAACAAGTTAAATATTATTTTACTATTAAGAAGCCTTAAAAACTGGAAGCTGGGCAGCCTGTACCCCTGAGCTCTTGTCTCCACTGATCCTGGAGTCTGTGACCATGTGTTGGCCTCTTAGAGCTGAGCTTGTCCTAGTCACTGAGGCTAAAGGCATTGGATAATTGATAGCCATAACATTTCAAGACTGAATTATCTGTGAATCTGCTTAATTACCCTTGCAGTCTTTATAGGCACATCTGTATGTGTGCACCCAACTTCATATTTGCATACACAAATGAATATTTGCATGTGTAGATTAGCTAATTGTACAACTGACTGTCCATCTGCATACTTAATGACTCAATTTACATGTAGGAAAGTGGGCTTTTTTCACTTGCAAATGGAGGCTGTTGGATATTGGTGGTGTATTTTTGGAGATGTTAGGTTAATAATGTCACCAAATTACAGACCACAGAGGCGTTTCATGTGCAATTAGAGGCAGGATAGCTGGCATGCCCATTCCCTGCAAACACTGATATTGTTGGGTCTCTCCTTGGCAAACAGGGATTTTATCATTGGAACATATGATGCCACTGTGTACCACTTAACGGCAGATGGCACCAAACTTGAGAAGCTCTTCGTAGAGCCCAGGGATGCTGTGTGTGCCATCTCCTGCCACCCATACCAACCCCTGATCGCTGTTGGTAGTATCTGTGGGATGATAAAAGTGTGGGATTACGAAAAGAAGAAGTACCTTTTCAGCAGGGCCTTTGAGAAGGGGCTTGGAGTCCAGAGTCTGACCTACAACCCGGAAGGTATTTCACTCCCCAGTGTACCATCAGTTCCAAGACACATCCACAGGGCTTGTGCCCATGACCATTACTGTCCCAGGAGCCCGTCGCCCCAGGAGCCCATCACCCCAGCCGCTCACCGCACTGTGCTTGAGTGCTTTCCCCAAGATGGCTGGCCTCTCACTTGACTTTCTGTGTGGATATTTTCAGTTTTCTTCATTGCTCCCCCCCTCCACACCAAGCAGAGCCCGGCACAGACTCACTATTTCTAGAATGAACAAAGTCCTTTTTCCATCATCATTTTGGGGCCTGTCATTTCAGGGGCCCTGCTTGGAGCTGGCTTCACAGAGGGGACAGTTTTCATTCTTGACTCAATGTCTTTGGAAAACGAAAGCCCAGAGCCTTTCAGATATTCCAGAACCAGTGTGACTCACGTGAGCTTCTCGCATGACTCCAAGTACATGGCGACTGCTGTAAGTGCTGTCACTGTATGTTTTCTTTAAGAACAAAGGAGAGGGCCAGGCATGGTGGTGCAAGGCTTTAATCCCAGGACTCAGGAGGCAGAGGCAGGCAGATCTCTGTGAGATGGAGGGCAACCTGGTCTACACAGCGAGTACCAGGCCAGTTGGGGTCTACAAAGGGAGATCTTGCCTTAAACAAACAAACAAACAAACAAACAGAAAACCAAAGAACAAATAACAAAGGAGAGACCAAGCTGAGTAAAGCAGGACTCATGAAAATTTTGGAAAATTCTGATAATGATGCATAGCTGTGTGACTATACTAAAATACATCATTGGACTATGCTTTAAATGGGTACATTATAGTAACACACATCTCAGTAAAGCTGTTAAAGGGAGAGGGATGGTAAGGTAGGATTTTGCCTGTGGGCAGAACTTCCAGACTTGGATTCTGCCGCCCTGATGGCTGGCTGTTGGGTTTCTGGGTCCCACTCTTTGTATCTGGTCCTTCATCTTTTCTGCTCATTTTTGACAAGGTAGCCTCCTCACTGATCTCAGTGTCCTTCACCAGGGTTTTCAATTCTGTTCCTTCCCTCTGTGATGATCTCAGGAAAGATGTTCTGGGACCGCTGACTTTTCCCTCTGGCCTATCTGCCTTTCATTCTGGCTTGGGGTGAGGAGGAAGGTCCTCATTGAGACACTGTCCTCTGGGCACCCCATATGCTGCCATACAGCCTGGACCCTAGCTTGTGCATACAGTGCTTATAAGGGCCAGAGTTATCCTAGCACACAGCCTGGACATCCTGCTTCAAAGATAAGGGAAGACAAAGGCAAAAGGGTCAGGCTCTTGACTTTCCATAGAGGACTGGGTGGAAATTTGGAAAGAACAGGACTGCAGTGTCAGATCAGAATTTCCCCCTTCTGGCTTTATCTACTTGCTATAACCCTACTCTCCTCCCCTGTAGCTGTCCACAGTTTGTCCTGCTGAGATGCGTTTGGACTAGATTCTGAAAGCAGAATTAGTCTGAAAACCATGATGATTCTTAAGTCATTATTTTATTAAACATATTTTACTTATTTTTATTTTATGTGTATAAGTGTATTGTCTGCATGTGTGTCACTCAGTGTCCACGGAGGTCAGAAGAAGATGTTGGATTCCCTGGAACTGGAGTTACAGATGGTTTTTAGCCATCATGTGGGTGCTGGGAACTGAACCTGGGTCCTCTGAAAGAGCAGCTAGTGCTCTTAACTGCTGAGTCATCTCTCCAGCCCTCTTAAGTAATTCTTAAGGGAGTAACTTCTGTTCTTGCTCATTCAGGATGTAAGTTTCACTGTGGCTGTGTACATGGTGGTGGTCAAAAATGGACAGAGGGTCTGGGAGTATTTGGCAAGACTTCGCTCTCATCAAAACAGCATTCGAAGCCTCCTGTTTGGGGTTCACCTGGACAGCAATGACCCCAGACTGCTGAGCCTTGGGAAAGACAGGTTCTTGGTGAGCTGTTCAGTTTTTTTTCTGTGGTCACCAGTATCATTCCTCACTCTTGTTACATCCCTTGTATCTTACCCAGCATATGACATGTGTTTGGTGGAGAAAATGATGGTACAGCGAAGGAGTGCAAAACTCTGCAAGTCAGCATCCCTAAGTTGCCACTGCACAGGGGCCTGAAATGGGGGCTTCTGGAAAGAGGGAGGTGGGTAGCGGGGGAGGGCCTGTCCCCCATGGCACAGAAGGTGCAGCTGCCTTTACCTCTCAGTGTGCAGTAGGGAAAGCTGACAATCACTAATACTTCCTAAGTGTCTAGAGGTCAGGGCAAGACTATTGCTTATGTGTGAAAATTAATAGAGAACTACAGGTAAGCATGGGAGGGACAGTGTGTGACATTACAGGATCAAGCCTTGGCCATTCAGAAGCCATCACTCACGGTCTTTCCCACCTACCTTTCCTCCTTCCTTCTTTCTGCCTTCCTATCCCCCTTCCTTGCCTGCTTTTCTCTCCCTTATTTCATTTATCTCTCCTGGCCTGTCCACTAAAACATACCACTGGGTCAATTTGAGCAGGCTGCTAATCTGGGAGAGTCAAGGGCCGAGATTTTGATAGTTCCTAAGATAATGGTAAGGGCTGCAACAGAACTTAATTGTCAGAGTTCAGGTTTGGGATCAGTTGGGCCTAAATTAAAACTTTAACTCCACCACTTCGTGGCTATGTGTCCCTGGGCAGGCTACTTAGAATAGCTCACAGGCTGCACACAAAGGGACTTGGGTTTCACAGGCACAATGGTTTAGGGTACTGAGCCCACCATCCTCTTTGCTGTGAGTACTCAAAGAGGGTAACTGACAGATGTGGAATCTAGGAGCCTTCCCTAGGCTGTCTCCCCAGCCAGTCATACAGGCTGACACCCTGAGCTTAAGGCTCCTTAGCTGGGCTTGTCCTCTGGCCTGGCCCTCATGTGTCCACCCGGGCTTCTCTGCAGATAGAGTATAATCTTATCAAGAGCTACAAAGACCACCTGGAAGTCCTGGACATTCACCGCACTGACCAGGGCAACTACCCCACCTGTATGGTCTGGTATCCACCACTTACCAAGGAGCTCTTCCTGCTTATTTGCAACAGTGGCTACAAAGTGAAACTTTTCAATTCCATCACCAAAATGTGCAGGTGAGCACCAGGGTGTCCTGTTCATGTGCTGTCTACATCCATTTCAAAGCCCTCCCCCATGGTAACAGCTGGCTACTAGTATCCCCCTCACTTCTTAGAGGAAGAAACTGAGGCACAGATAACATGTTATGTTCACCCAAGAGCACATAAGCAGGCAGTGCCAAAGGCAGGATGCAAACCTGGGGTCCTTGCTCTAAGCCAAGCAAAGAACTGAGGTAAAGGACCCAGAGCTTGTTGCTCATTCATCTATTAAGGACACAGACCCTGGAGCTCAACACAAGTCACTGATGCTCTAAAACCTCCTGTCCTTTTCCATGCAGGAAAACCAACCAAACAAACAAACTTATTTTTACTCATATACTCCTAATTATTTGATGATGTTCCTTATTTTGTTTTGCTTTTATTTTGAGACAGAGTCTCACTCTGTAGTCCTTGAACTTGAGGTGATCCTCCTGCCTCTGCCTCCTGAGTGCTGAGATTACAGGCATGCATCACCATGCCCAACTTATTTTATTCTTCTTATGTTGCTTCTCAAAGGAGTTTGTTTGGGGGGGGGCAGTGTTATTGAGTCAGGGTCTCCCTGTAGCCCTTTCTTACCTGGAACTCACTCTCTAGACCAGGCTGGCCTCAATCTCATAGAGATCTGCCTGCGTTTACCTCCTGAGTGCTGAGATTAAAGCCCTGTGCCACCACACCTGGCCCTCAAAGAGTTTTAAGTTCAGCTGATAACATTCACTTGTTCCTGCCCTCTGTGGGCCCGGAACTGTCCAGATAGTTAGTTAAAGATGTGGTACAGACAAAGCGAGGTCCACCATCACGAGGCTGACACTTCAGTGATGAGGGAATAACACTAAAACACCAAATAGCTAGTGAGTGGATGTGTAGTGGCAGTGGCGTACAAAACAATTGGAAAAGACAGATGAAGAGAAGGGTTCCCTGGGCTAGAGGGGCTGTTGTTTCCAAAGAGTAGCTGGGGAGGCCTGAGAGAGGTGAGGAGTAAGCCAGGACATTTGAGGAAAAGGCCTGCAGACAGGATCAGAAGATCTGATGTTTGGTGTTTGGGGGTCTGAGAAATGCTAAGAAGATGGTTTGGCTGGAGTGGAATGGGGTAGCATGGGGGCAGGGAGTGGGAGTGGGAATGCAACCTGCAGGGCGCCTCACCCGAGGCTTGTGTCCCAGGACAGAAGGGAGGGTGAGAGATGATGGGAGCCCAAAGGCAGCAGGGAAGGGGTCAGATTCTAGATGTGTCTGGAGAGGATTTGCAGAGAGTAAAAGGGAGGTGGCAGAAAAAGTGGGCTTTCTCACACATCTTGATGATTGGGGCCCAAGCAGCCAGAAGAATGGAATTGACCTTTAATGAGATGGGGAAAACAGGGAAGGACAGAGACAAATTAAAAGTCCAAGTATGGACAAGGCAAGTTCATGAACCTACTCCACTTGAGAATACCTGAATTAAACTCTGGAATCTATATAGAGGTCATGGGGAGGTGGAGCTACAGGTCAAGAGCAGAGGACGTTAGTCATGAGGCAAGAAAGGAAGAGTACATGGAGACTGCAGGCTGAGCTCAAGGCATCCAAGGTGGAATCCAGGAGCAGCATCTCTTCTCTGCATAGGTGTCCTATAGTCAGGTGTAGCCTTGGGTTCAGAGACTTGTGGTCCCTGGATTTGCTCTTCACCTTGGACACTGATAGTGTGTGTCATCCTTGCACCAGGCCCACCTCACAATCATCTTCCAAAGCCTTGCAAAATATTGTCCTTCTGAGGTTTGGGGAGGCTTCATAATTCCTGGTCAACCAACTAGGCAGGGCAAGACAAAACTTAGTCCTTGAACCATTCTCAAATTCTGCCCTCTGCTAGAGACTCACAGCTGTGCTATAGCCAGCAGATCTGATCTGATGTGGCAAGAAAGAAGCACCAAGGCAGGATGCTCCTCCACTGGGGAGCCAGCGGCAGCAGCACTGAGCCCAGGGTGCGGAGGGAAGTTCATAGTTTTATTTGGTTGGTTGATTGGTTTTTATTTTATTTTTTCTGAGACAGGTTCTTGCTGTGTAGACCAGGCTTCTGAGTGTTGGGGTCACAGGCACTGTACCATCATGCCTGGCCAAGATCATAGTTTTGAAGTGCATCTCATATAAAACATCCAAATGCCAGAATTGTTTTGTTTTCTGCTTTCTTTTTTGCGACTGGGTCTCATTCTGTAGCTGGCTTTGAATTTGCAGCAATCCTCCAGTCCCAACCTCTCAAGTAGTGGGATTACAGGCATGAGCCGCTACTCCTGCCCAGCCCCTACAAAAAGTTCCTTTCCAGCAGGCAGAAGGAAAAATGACAGAACCGTCATTTGACAGAATCCAGCACAGTTTTTTAAATGCTTGAGAGAGTAAAGAGGAGTTTCAGGAAGAAGCTTTATGCACCATCTTTAATGGACACACACTTTCAAATGAAGAGTACCTCACAGAAATGTCGTCTCAAGGAACTGAATTTTCAGGGCAGGAGACTTAGGGACAGCATGCTTCAGGCTTGGAGCTCCTGGTATCAGTTATTTACTAATGAAAAGAGAAGAGAATACTTTTTGCCATGTGTTTGTAAGTTTCTGTCTATTAAACGTCAATCTGAAATTAGCATACAGCATCTCTTTTTAAAGATTTATTTTAAGTTATGTGTATATGTATGTGCACGAGTGCAAGTGCTAACAGACGCCAGGATCATCAGATCCCTAGGAGTTGGAGTTACAGGTGGTTGTGATGTGGGTGCTAGGAACTGGATTCAGGTCCTCTACAAGACAAGTAAGTGCTCTTGGGGCTGGAGAGATGGCTCAGTGGTTAAGAGCACTGGTTGCTCTTGTGGAGGACCTGGGTTTGATCCCCAGCACCCATGTGACAGTTAACAACTGTCTGTAACTCCAGTTCCAGGGGGATCCAACATCCTCTTCTGACCTCCGAGGGCATTGCACAACATGGGCGCACTTACATATGTGCAGGCAATACTCTCACACACATAAAAATAATAAAAAATTAAAAAAATAGTAAGTATTCAACCACTGAGCCATCTCTCCAGCTCCACACAAGCCATTTTCCTTCTTTTTAAAAATTTTATTTTCATGTGTAGGGCCTGGTGTGGTGGTGCACGCCTTTAATCCCAGCACTCAGGAGGCAGAGGGAGGAGGATCTCTGAGTTCAAGGCCAGCCTGGTCTACATAGTAAGTTCCAGGTCAACTGGGGGCTACAAGGAGACCCTGTCTCAAAAAGACAAAAAAAGAAAAAATAATTTAACAAGGTGAACATCATGTTCATAAAGCATTTTAAAAGGTGCTCTCACACATTTGCAGTGTTGTGCAGCCATTACCTCATGTAGTTCCAGAACATTTCCATTCTTCCCTAATAAAAGACCCTTGCATAAGATATCTCAGAAGTTGCAGAAATAATAAAAGCCTGATAACCACAGTTTAATTGGGGAGGAGTTACCTTTTCATGATTAATCCAAAAGAATTATAAAATGCATTAAAAATATTTGAAAGAACATGAAAAGGTAGTTCATAGAGGGCCAGTAAACACACAGCAAATGCTCAGCAGCCTCAATGATGCAAATGAAAGCAAGATACCATTTTTTACAAATCGGATTAGTAAAGATAAAAATGATCGATGGTGTGGAGTGCTGACAACGGTGTGGGGAGCAGGCTCTCTCTTCCAACTGCTGGTGGGGTGTAAATCAGTGTAACCTTTTGAGAAAGCAATTTGTCATCCTCTGTTACATTTTCTATCTTCTGACTTCTAGGAATCGAGCCCACAGAAGTGCTCACACCATTATGCCAAGACACAAGTAAAAGGAACTGTTGTTTGAAACTATGTTTTCAAATGGAAGCAGTCCAAATGTCCATTAATAGGGGATTAGTTAAGTGATGGCTTGTCAGGGCACTGGAACACAATGCTGCTTTTAGCAAAGGGGGAAAAAAGAATAAAAGATAGTTATTTCACCAGGCGTGGTGGCGCACGCCTTTAATCCCAGCACTTGGGAAGCAGAGGCAGGTGGATCTCTGTGAGTTTAAGGCCAGCCTGATCTACATAGTGAGTTCCAGGACAGCTGGGGCTACAAGGAGACTCTGTCTCAAAAAGATCAAAATAATAATAATAATCATCATCATCATCATCATCATCATCATCATCTCTGTGTAGTTACGTAGAAATGTCTCCAAGATAGAAAAGATAAATCAAATTGCCACAGAAGCATAAGTAGTATAATTCTGTCTTCATATAAAATCTTATGTGTGCAAAGTTTCCTTGAGTCCTATACACCAAACTATTACCCATGTTTCTTTTGGGACAAGGTACAGAATTGTGGAGTATAGAGAGATTTATGCTTTATAAATGTCTAAAGGTTTGGACCTTTTTATAATGAATATGAAGTACTTTTCAATCAGAATTAAAAGATAATGTTATAAAATTGTTAGACAGGTTGACTATTACTAGGTAGTAGTTATATAGCTAAGTACCAGAAACTGTTTCCTAAAAGGGAAATTTTCCCTTTTAAAACCAGTAAACACTTAATGATTGTTACTATATTCTCAAACTTATACAGTCATCAATCACCATTATCCAGTTCAAGAAAGCAACCAATCCCCTCAAAGAGAACTGGTTCCTAGGCTAGGGATGTGGCTCAGTTGGTAGAGTGCTTGCCTGGCATGTGCAAAGTCCTAGGTTTGGTTCCCAGTACCTCATAAACCAGGCATGATGCCTTTTAAAACTCCAGCATTTAGGAGGTGAACACTGGAAGACCAGAAATTCAAGACCATCCTCAGCTACATAGTAAGTTTGAGGCCAACCTGGACTATATGAGAAAAATAAAACAGAAAAAACAAACCCTGGTTCCTATCAGAGCTACTCCCCAGCCCCACCTCCCTCTATCCTGGGAAGTGTCTAATCTATTTCTTGTCTGGTTAATGTAACTATTCTGTACATATGAATATAAATTCATATTCCTGTGACCTTTTGTGTCTGGCTTTTTTCACTTAACATAAAATGTTTGCAAGGTTCATCTACTTTGTAACATTATTCAGTTGTTTTTGTTTTGTTTTAGTTTTTTGTTTTTGTTTTGTTTTTTTTGAGACCAGGTCTCTCTAGCTCCAGGCTGGCCTCAATCTCACAGAGATCTGCCTGCATCTGCCTCCTGAGTGCTGGGATTAAAGGCATAGATATCACTCCTGGCCCGAGTTCTTTATTTTTCTGGCTGACTAATATCCCACTGTGAGTACTGACTGCCTTCTGTTCATATGCTCCCACTGATGGTAATGGACACTTGTATTATTTCCACTTTGTGGTGGTCATGAACATTGGGTATGGTGCTCCATGTAGACATATAATTTCTTGAATAATCCTGGGTTTGGAATTTCTGGGTCATTTGAAAATTCTGTTTCATCATTTGAGTGACTCCGAGACTGCTTTCACAGTAGCTGTACAATGTTGCCTTCCCATAGGCCATGTACAAAGGTTCCAATCTTTTCACAACTTTGTCTATAATTTGTAAGGTCAGAACCCGGGCTCTTCCCATGTCCACGTGGCAGCATGTGGGAAGGGCCTCAGGAGAAGGCATTGCTGAGTCTCCTGCAGAGAGATCACTTTTAAAACTGCTCCTGCTTCCTTCTCATTATCACCTCCTCCACCTTCTGCTCCCCTCCTATCACTGTTGATGCTTCTGAGATTTCCAGCACCAATTCCTGTCCCCACTGCTTTACTTTCTCTTCTACCCATTTCTCACACCTTCCATGTTCCCTATGTCTCTGATCCAACATTCCAAACACAGCTCGACTGTTCCCTAGAAGCATGTCACTCCAGACTCCCAGACTCATGCTCTCCCCACACGTCTCACCTCTTGTCAGTTGTGCAGTTCCTGTCCCTGCCTGTCTGTGGCCTCAGTGGGAGAAGCCACACCTTACTCATTTCTGCATCCTGACTACCTAACCCCATGCCTGGCATGGTGAAGTGCTCCCAAAAGACTGTGATAGAATCTCTGTCCATTATCCAGTACCTACATCCCACATGACGTAATCTGGGCCTGGGGACAGATCCAGGTTCTGTTGGTCCTGAATCATATTTAATTTTATGGTCCCTCTTTTTTTTTTTTTTTTTTTTGTCTTTTTGAGATAGGGTCTCCCTGTAGCCCCAGCTGTCCTGGAACTCACTATGTAGACCAGGCTGGCCTTGAACTCACAGAGATCCGCCTGCCTCTGCCTCCCAAGTGCTGGGACTACAGGCGTGTGCCACCATGCCCAGCTTTGTCCCTCATTTTTTAAAAAAGAACAAGGGGCTAGAGAGATGGCTCAGCGGTTAAGAACACTGGTTATTCTTGCAGAAGACCCAGGTTTGAATCCCAGCACCCACATGGCAGCTAACAACCGCCCAAAACTCCAATTCCAGGGGATCTAACAGCCTCTTCTGTCCTTTGCAGGCACTGCATGACACGGGTGCACCTACCTACACACAGGCAATACAGGCATACACATGAAATAAAAATAATAAATATTTTAGCCAGGCATGGTGGCACAGGCCTTTAATCCCAGCACTCAGGAGGCAGATGCAGGCGGATCTCTGTGAGTTTGAGGCCAGCCTGGTTTACATAGCGAGTTCCAGGCCAGCTGGGGTTACAGGGAGACCCTGTCTCAAAAA